GCAGGGAACAACCACAATATTTTGGTTAGCAACAGGAAAAAAGTTGAACTTGTCTTTTAGAGAATCTTTCACTAAATCTTTACACACAGTCTTTACAACTTTTCATTTTTGTTATTGCCTCTGTTATTGCCACAAGAGAAAGAGATGCATTTCGATGTGGTGAAGGATAGAACTTGAGTTATTAAGAGGGTGAATTCATACCTTCATGACTGCTGTCTCTAAAATAGCATCCAGAAAGGAGTTATTTTCGGTCACCTCCTCAGCGGTCACCCTCTCTGCCACACCAGTGGACCTCTCATAGTTGTCCAAAAGCTTCATGAAGCCTGTTGAGAGGTAAGCAAAATCACCATTTAAAATCCCAAAAGACCTTTTTTGTTGGTGAAAGCAATTTCATGTCTGGTTGTTTGGGTGGGTAAATATCATATTCACACATGTAAATGAAACAAATGTAAACCTTCCTTTACTTCATTTCTTCTAGATTTTGTGCGAATTTGTAAAGTTTGAAATACTTAAAAACAAAGTAGTAAGACTGAAAACTTATGCTCCTCTATGTAAAATATTTTAATGCTGATCCGATTTTTCATGCTCCTGATTTACCTTTACTTACCTTCTATTTTATATCTATTTCATGATTAATACTGTGTATCCAAAATATGTGATGTGATTTAAGTTTACATGCATGAGGGTTTCAGATTAGCATTTCAGATTCAAATATTTCTGGTAACATGTTGCATCAAGCAACCATGTGGTTTCTCTCATAAATCAAAAGGAGAAACTGAATGCAACATAGAACAGAATTCAGAACTTTAAGATTAACTGCCTGCTTAAACACAATTACATTTTTTAAAGGATCTTGGTGTGTCCCTGTTAAAGGCATGTTTCAGCACAGCTCCGTGGATAAATAAGCTTTTGTGCAAACTGACAGAATAATTAAAGGGGTTAGAGGGTTTTGCAAAAGAAACATACGTGCATAAGTGGTAATGGAGTTCAGTTTGGCCTCATCGACACTGGTAAACAGTGGGGATGAGGCGTGGTCTACCGCACTGGTGCTTCCCTGTGGTATGTAACCAGCTTTGCCCTAAAAGAAATGTAAGACAATTTAATGTTACACTTGATCTGTCACTAGACTTAATATTGTTTGACATTAAAATACTGACACCTGTAGTGAGATATTGTAATGGGTCCCAGGGCTCAGGCGATTCACATCCAGCTTCCAGAGCTCTTTGAAAATATCTGAAAGCTCCTGGTTGACAGTTTGACTGAGAGTGTAGGGAAAAAAGTGAGTTGTATAAAATATGCGTAAATTTTGTACAAAACGTTCTCAGGTGTAGTAAATGGCATTCATATAATAGGCACAATTAGAAAATAATTTACCTAGATGCATCACTAAAAGTAAACAGAGCCAAGAGCAAAAGGGTCCATCCAAAATAATACCTGCAACATACAAACATATAAGTAACACTTTACAATTGCTTGAATTTATTTATCTTTTTTTTGTATGTATATACTGTGTACAGTACATTTCATGCCACTTAAATGAACATAAATGATGCAATAATTTAATTTAAGTTCATACAAGTTAACCTCCTGGGACTTACAGTAAAGGAGAGTGCAACAATAATGCAAAAAAAAATTTTGCAGAGAGAATTTTCTAATAAATAATTGATCAACACTAAACACATGAACTTAAAAATAAGAGGAAACAACAAACGTACTAAAGATCAACACGTTAAACTCAATGACCTTTTGCAAGACAATTATGCTTTTAAAACAGACTAAACATAGACAAAAGTACAAAAAAAACCGTAGACGTACAAGTGTATGCAAAACATTAAAAAAAAGTTTTCTACATACCCCCTGCGCATTGTGTTTGGTTTGATGCGCGCACAGATGAACGCGAGTTATCTGTGCAGTTTTCTTCGTTTTGTTGAACGTCTCACAACAAGAGCTCGCCCGGTTAAGTGGCCCCTGGCGATGCTCTCATGCCTGACTACACCCAAATATGTTGTGTCGATCCATTTCTACCACAGAAATCGTATAGGGGGGTCGAATGAACATTTACATCAAACGGGAACATAAGTGGGCGGACCTTAGCAGAAGTTGTCTATGTTTGGTCAAGAATGATAAACCTAACGAATAATTTACCCATATTACCCTTTCACTGTTTATTTCTAATTCACGGACTAATAAAATGTCATTATTGAAGTGTAAACTATGAAGTTTGCTGAAGCAGCACACGGAACACTTTGTCACAATGTAATCCGTTTCTTTTCTCCGCGCTGGTCAGGGTGGACCAATCACACGAATGCATGTGTGATTACTTGTATAAAGATTTGATATGATAGTTTTCATAGCGACGACAGAGGAAGATTTCCATTTGTATATCAGATAGTAATAATTTGCATGAAAACTATAATAGATTTCTGTACACAAATATATTCAATAAGCCAAAAGATTTGAATACGGGTTGTCTCTCTGAGCTCTCATGCGCCCCCTACTGAAAGCCAACAGGAAACAGTCACACAATGACATGAAGGACAAGGACTCATTTCATCAGTTTATTTCTAAGAACTGAAAGCAAAAGCTGGACATAATGTATAACCCAAGTCAAAACTTAATACTGAAAGCATGGAAACAACTTACATTAATTTATAATTGCCAATAAAATTGCATAAAATAAATATGTATTTTATTATAAAATGCTGACAAGCAACTGTCTAGATTGTCCAATAGATGGCGCTGTTGATTAAGTTATGTACTGTCCCTTTACCATGGTACAAAATAGTTTCCCCACAAAATGCGCTTACTGTATAATTTTAATTTATTTTGTATGACTGTGGTGGCAAAGCCACAGCTATATTGTGGAAACAATTGCTATGATAACTACAGTATTTATTTTGACAGCAATGTTACTCTGTAAAATGGTTATCTTAAACATTTATGTAAGGACGCGCATTCACAATCTTCATTCATTGAAGAATTTCTGCTCTGACAAGTGACAAGTCATACACTATTGTTTGTAGAATTTACCAATTGTGTAACTAATTGACATAAATACAACAAACAATTAAAGCCTGCATGCTTTCAGCATTTTATTCACCTTTAAAAAGGAGTAAAAGTCAAAGTACAAACATGTAACTGAAATGGTTACGAGTGGCACTATATTTTCAATATAATTTTCAGCTGCTTACAATTTTGTGCACATGCCAGTATTGCATTAAAGATTCATGCTATATGATAGCATTTACATAAACGAGAACATTATTGCTATCCTAAAGTACTGCAGCAGAGGAAAAATAATTCACAATGAACTTTTATTAAAGTAACAATATTTTGCTAATATTTTATCCAAATGAGACTTAAATAACATGCAAACCTTTACAGACCAGATGTAAAGTATATTGTACAGAGTTCTGCATGCAAATGCACAAAGCATATGCAGTATCAATGCATGTATTGGCTTGATAAACTAAAATGTATAGGTCAAAATACAACTAAAAAACCCTATCATATGTTTAAGACTGCACCTGGAAAGATCATTCAAAAAATATTGATGATTATTGCTAATTTAATTATTGGCAGTGTACAATTTTAATTTATCAACAATTTAATAAAATATATCTTTGATTTTGACTGAAAGTGTCCTTGTGCTCTTCTGTCACCATAATAACTGGCACAAACCATCTGTCACAGATTTAGGCAGGCAGATGAAAAATAATGCATACTGTATCTATCCAATGACCAGCAGATTACAGTAGGACTGCTACTCATTATAGTTATAAATCATATCACATCGATCCACAAAAAACAAAAATGACCACTAACACACACACACAGGGCAGACATTCTTCCATCTACCTTTATGAGACATTAATTATTAAACAAAATGTTCTTAAAAGGCAATTAAAATACTTTAAATTGGTGTTTTGATGAGCGGACACGTGGTTCTGTTTGATATATTTGGCATTCAGATTAGGGATGCACCGATACCACTTTTTCCAGTACTCGCCCGATACTGATACTTTTATTTTTGGTACTTGCCGATACAGAGTACAGATACCAATATTTTATTACATTTGTACATTTTTTAAATATTGGGTACAGAAACCAAAAGAGTATGTATAATGTTAGTTGATTAACTTCATTTATCAAATAGATACAGTCAAACCAAAATTTATTCAGACACCTTCAACATTTCTCACATTATCACAGTTTATTCGCTATAGCGGCTTAGTGCTGTAATCGCGCGCTTTGCTGTAATAATGCAGGGAACCACTCGCTATAAACCTCCTAACTATGATATTTTCAGAAATAGAAGTCGCGTTTTTTTTTCATCTGAAACGTGCTGCGATTTATATTCCAAAGCCACTCATATAATGCAGAAACACTCAAGCAAGCAAAACATTCGCCAGAAAGTCGTGTATGCCTAAGGTTAAAAATAAATTATGTTTATAGTGAATGCCCCTATAAATGGTCTTATTTTTTTACAATTTTGAGTTTTGATCCAAATGATGCGTGTGCCAAGTGAGTGAACATCAAAGCTCACACAACAGAAGTGCGCGCACGCTCTCTCTCTCCCTACCGTTAAGTAACTTGTGCATTGTTTTACTTACTTGTTTTTGACGTATCTGACTGAACTACAAACTTTCCAGTGATGTCTGTGAGAAAGGCATATTCACTCGACAAGCTCGCGCATCTGCGACGCCGTGCGCTCAATCCACTCAGCGTGCTTTGTTTATCAGCTCGCACACATCAGCTATACAGGCGTTAATACTGAATGTTTAACATTATATTCATTGCATACATATACGTCGTAGACATCCTTAATCTCTAATAACTCCATTCTGCTGTCTGTTGTCGGTGTTTCTTTGTCTGAATATGGCACTTATCACATGCTGTGTGGTATCGGCGTTTGGTATCGGGGCATTTTAACGAGTACGAGTACAGGAGCTTAGTATCGGGCCGATACCAGTATCGGTAACGGTGCATCCCTAATTCAGATGGAGGTGCGTGTGTGGAGGTGTTGGCAGAGGGATTGGCACAGTCACTTCATATTAAAGCAGCAGCACAAGGGGCGAGAGTGTCCCTGCAGAACCCTCACACATTGGAGTCATCATCCTTCACACTGGCATTGGGGAACGACGTGGAGATCCCCTTGAAGAACTCATCCTCCTTCAGCATACTCTGATCACAAAACACAGGATGCACAGTTTAGGCTCAAGCACACCACTGTATATATAAAGCAACACAAGTGAGATCAGATGTGCAGCTGCTTGTTACCGTTAAGTTGTTGATGCCCTCTGAGAAAACGCCAATCTGCCTTACTGTCCCTTCAGAGTCCTCCATCTGGGGATTGCAAAGAGGAACATAAAGTCATACAGGTGTTAATGATTAATCAATGATCGATTCATTGTTTTTAATGATCTGATTTAAGGTTATTGACTATTGAATAATCAACTGAACATATGGAATAATTGAGATTTTTTTTTTTCATTTTTGAAAGAAGTTTCTTGTGCTCACCAAGCCTGCATTTATATTATCAAAAATACAGAAAATACAGTAATATTGCAAAATATTATTACAATTTAAAAGAACGATTTCCTATTGTAATACATTTTCCAATTTAATTTATTGCTGTGATGGCAGAGCTGAATTTTCAGCTGCCATTACTCTGGTCCTTCAGTGTCACATGATCCTTCAGAAATCAAAATTATCAGGAGTAAATGACATTTTAAAATGTATTACAATAGAAAATCATTCTTTTAAATTGTAATAATATTTCACAATACTACTGCTTTTACTGTTTTTTCTTTTAATCAAATAAATGCAAATTTTGTGAGCATAAAGAGACTGCTTACAAAAACACTTACAAATCTATTATTTTTAAATTAAATATTAAAAAAATATCGGTACATATTTAGTAAATATGAATAATTTTGGTAATTATTGATCATTTAAAAATGAAACTTAAATGCATTAAATGTTATTAATCTTTTTTAAATTAAATTCAGTTGACTGAAACTTAAAATGAAAACACAAACTATTTATATAAATGAATATACAAATAATAAATGTATTATATATTTATTTAGATATATTAAATATTTAAAATATTGTAGTTAAATTATTATTCAGCAAATCTGCCACATGACTTTTGTGGTATTAAATGTTAAACAGTTAACCTGACTACCAGACAGCCAGGTCGATCAGTGCCAGCGGCCACTGCTTTTCACACTGTAGCAAAGTAAAGCATCATAGTCCATCATGCACCAGAAAGCTTCTATCACTACCTGGTCGAATCGATCTAGGTCATCATCATAGCTCTGGAGCTCCATGCCTCTGTAGCCTTTCTGGAAGCTGCGTCCTTTGGGCATCTCCACATCCATGGGACAGACATACTCTTCGTTGTCCTCTTGCTTCTTCTTCCTACCAAACCCTCCAAACGCCAGCTTGTGCGGCTAAATTTGACACAGACGGCATTTAAAATAAAAATATGTCAGCATTTGAACTCCAAAATGAATGAAATCACATGCAAGTTCTGCAGTAGATGGTCTGGAGGTGTTCTGCATCATACCTTGACTTTAGCCGTGGCGGTGAGTAAGGTGTAGTCTGGGTTCTCTAGACACTCCTGTTTGAGTTGCTGGGCCTCAGAACCCACCAGCAGGTTCAAGTGAGTAGCCAGATGCCTCCGCAGCAGAGTCTTGTTGGGGGGAATATTCAGCAGCAGAGCCATTGTCTCCACATTGAAGCGAGGTTCCAGCACCTGAAACCATGAACAAAATGATGCCCATTTGATAAGAAAAAATTGCACTTTTGCAGATGCTTTTACCTCAGCTTTATTTTCACTTTAGCAACCTGGGGTTAACTGCTATGATAAAGGTCCCGGTATACTTTACATTTACATTTATGCATTTCACAGATGCTTTTATCCAAAGTGACTTCCATTGCATTCAAGGTACACATTTAATCACTTCTTGCTTTCCCTGGGAATCAAACCTATGACCTTGCTAGCATCCTGCTCTACTGTTTGAGCTACAGGAAGACTTCAAGTGAATCAAAGAATGAACTTGTGTGACATCATCATGAACAAAATCAGACCAAAACAGCTTGACAAAAGCAAAATTTCCAGAGAAGTTCAGTCTGGCCAAACTACCATTGGTCTGTGGTGATTGCTTAATAGGTAGATGTATTCTGAGGCTCCACAAGTATAAACATGAACACACTGCAAAGCTGCTTTATAGTAGAAATTGACGTGTTTTTTCATGTTTATTACTGTAAAGCTATGGAGGACCAAACCTGCTAAGGAATGTGATTTTAAATTAAATGTAGTCTTTTTGTAATACTTTTTCTTTAAATTATTATTATTATTTTTTTTACTATTTTTATTCTTTTTAAGACTTATTTTTATTTATTTTTTTCATTTGCTTTTTTGGAATATTTATTTATATATGCATTCATTTTTTTATTCCCACATGTATTTATTTCCATATTATAAATAAATATAACGACTTGAAATATGACTTGAAATGCCAAAATGTAGAGCTGGAGCAAACATATCCACATCACTATGATCGGATGCTTTTTTAATTGCTGTTTTCTCACCGCTGTCATTTTTTGTGTGTTTATTTTGCTACTGAGAGGAAAGCGTGCAGAACATATTTACATATTCATCTAAATGCCACTTTCAGCAGCATGGGCACAAAGGACGAAAAATAACTTCACTGTGAGTATATCGGGGCCTTAAGGGGGTACAGTGTTCATGGATCAACCCTTTCAAGCTTTTAACCTACAACTTTTCGGATTGCAGTGCAAATTTTTAACCATTACAACCAATAACCTAAACTAGTACAAAGTAATTTCTCACCATCAGTCCTCCATGTACTCCACTGCCCCTCAAGTTGGGTGCGTATTCCGCCAGGTCAGCAGACCGCAGCCACTCCATCACACGGTGGTTGGTCCATTGAGAGATCTCAGCAGGACTTATGTTGTTCTGAAACAATGGTGAACATAAGGATTGCTAGTATAAGTCAAAAAACAACAGGACAGCACAGATTAGAGTTTGGTCTCTCTTCCTACCTCATCTGAAGGTCTTCGCCGCAGACAGTTGGGGTCATAGTTGTTGAGCCGGAGCACCTGGATGGCTCTCTTAATACTGAGGTGATGAAGAACACTGCCCACTTTCAGAGATAATAGGTCATCCTGTTCAGCATGGACAGGAGAGAGTGGACATGAACAACTTTCAACTAAGCGGTTTAGAAATCATGTGACACTGAAGACTGGACTAATGACTGAAATTCAGCTTTGCCATCACAAAAATAAATGACATTTTAAAATTGATTCAAATAAAAAAAACATGCATTTTAAATTGTAATAATATTTCACAATATTAATGTTTTTACTTTTCTGTATTTTTTATCAAATAAATGCAGCCTTCTTTCAAAAACATTAAATACTAGTTTAACCTTTTATTCCCAGATAAAAACTTTCATTTATATGTCAAAACGTGATATTGACCAGGAAAAAGACTAACCACAGTCATATAGTGAAGCATCCGTCCATCCACACGTCCCTCGTCAAACTGAGTCTTGTACTGCGGGAGGCCAATATCATCAAGCCACCCTAGAACAGAAGGTAAGGGGTTAAGAAAAACAATCTGATACATTCAGCCTTAGTTTTATAACAATTTAACAACAAATCTGATACTGCGGATGAATAAACATCCATTCCTTACTTGTCACCCAGTGGTAGTCTAGTTTGCCTTTGTTATCATCTTCCTCTGAGCCCAATGCCTGCAGGGCCAGCTGCAGTTTCTTCCTGTGTAGAGGGTGTTTTATTCCCAGCTCCTGCATACAGAGGGCAGAACAGTCCTTAAACATTAATTTCAAATTCAACTGATTATTACCAGACTTAAACGTGGTCTCAGACATTTGGACCCCACTATATGCTCTCATTCTGATTGTTTGTAATAAGAGCTCACTCTTTCCAGATCCTGCTGGGATGCCTGCAGAAGCGTCTGGCCTGAGGCGACCCACTGCCTTGCCCAACTCACGTACAACCCCAGTCCCTGCTCCTGCATCCAATCACACACCTGCTCCCGGGACCAGCGTGCAAACGGTGCATCCAGCTCACTGGAAAACACAAACAAGCAGATCTTAGAAGGTACAAAGACAGTGACTGCTGGAGATATTTTTGGAGATATTATTGACCATTTACCACAAAAATGACAACATAATGAGATTTTAATCAGGAACTGAAACTCTGAATCAATAAGCTACATGTAAGTCTGTCACCAGGGTGTGTTTCCCAACAGCAGATCTTTCCATTTTGAGAAGGAGCTCTATCCTGTGTCACTGTGATTGCTGACCTGTTGGTGTTCTGCAGGTCACGTGACCAACCCAGCCTGGGCCCAGCTGTGGCTCTGACTCCACCCCGTTTAAACTCACTCTCTGATAAGTTATCATCCAGGTTGAATGTGGTTGATTGACTTCTTTTGAGCCTTTAAAGAATAAAGAGAAAGTCAGAGAAAGTCATCAGTTGCATGCTTTAAATGACTAGCAAATTCGTCCATATTTCTTTCATTCATTCATTCATTCATTCATTCATTCATTCATTCATACATTCATACATTCATACATACATTACCGGGAGGACCAAACGACAGACACAGTTGGTGTGGCGTCAGGCCTCGGAGAGGCTTTTATTAACAGAAAATAAACAAAGTGTCCAGAAAAAGGGAATCAAGTGTCCAAAATGAACAGGGGATCTGGTGTCCTCGTCGTGCTGCGGGGTTCGTGAAGGGAAGGGCAGTGGACAGGAAGGAAGGGTCCAGGGTAAGGGGCGGAGTCCGGTGGCCACACGCGCTCCCCTCTCCGGTCCGCGGCACGAGGGGCGGCGGCTTCTTCCAGCGGCTGCATCCTTCTCGTTGCCCACGGCTCGCGAAGGGACTAGACGGCCTGGCATCCTGGCCCGACGGCCGTGTAACGGGTGCGGTTCTCGTCCGGACTGCGGGTCCGGCAGCTCACAACTCTGGCGGCGCGAGAGTCCCTCTACGCACCCTTCCTGGACCCACGAGGGCACCAGCGTGCATGCACGGGGAAGAGACCGGTCTACCCGAGGAGAGGCGCGCTCGGCATTTATACAGCGGTGGTGATGAGGCTCCATTCGGTTCAGGTGTGCCCCATCACACGCCGCCAGCCCTGGCTATTTCAGCGCCCCTCCTCTCTCACGCACACCCACTCCTGTCGGGAGCCTGACGAAGGGCGGCGATTAAGGGACGGGGTGATGCTGATAATTAGGGGGAGGCAGCCGACTCGTCACAATGTGTTGATATCCAGCCGAAGAGCAATCAACCATAACTTCAGGCGAGCAGGCTCAGAAGTTGGGGGTATAATTTTGAAAAATACCGTGGTATAAATTTTTGGTCATACCGCCCAGCACTACCAGAAAGCAACATTTAGGGTGATTTTTAAAATACATTTTTAAATTATGTTCATGTAAATAAAGGGTAGAAAGGTTGCTTAGTTTATATGAAGTAAATCAGAACATTAATAATAATATTTGAAATATAATACTTATAATTTTTTTGAATAATATAACTTTTATATTTTTTTTTTAGAAATTAAATGAAGTATTACAATAATCTATTCTTTAAATATCCAGCATTCAGTGTTATTTTTTTACTATTATAGTATTTATTAATATTTTGAATTAGCTTTTATTCTTTATAGTTTTCATTTTAATTTTGTTTTCAGTTTTAATAATTTTGTATGTGCTTTTGTCATTTTCATTATTTTTTTTTGTTAGTTTTAGTTTTTAGTTTAGTTAGTTTTTCTATTCAGCTTTAATTTATATTTCAGATTGAATAATTTTAGTACTTCAACTTATTGTATTTTAGTTAATTACCAAAGCAACATTTCTAGTTTTTAGTTGTTTTTTTTATCTAATATTTGTTTTATTTAAGCCTTTTTCAATTAATAAAACCAATTTTTAATAGTTTTAGGTTTAGTTAACAATAACACTGACAGGATATAAAATATGCTAGATAAGGAAAGACACCAAGTGTCTGAAACGTCCAACCCTGCAGCTGTTTTAGACTCACTTTCCAAATAGAGCTTTGATTCCTTTTGACTTTTTCTTGCCCTCCGGAGAAATGGGGAGAGTGTGTGTGCTGTCACTGTCAGCTGACCTCTGTGGCATGCCTGCCAGATCCAGATGGTCAGTGCCGTCCCTCTCGGTCTCAGCTGTGCAAACAAACACATACACAAGAAAAGAAAATGTCTTGTTGTCACCACAGCAAACTACGTTACCCATAATACCATGGTCAGTTAAGCATCAAATAAACTAAAGATTATGGGAAGGGAGAAAAAACAGGGCAGTTGTTCAGTAGGAGACCAGAGCAGTAAAAATGTCATGAATAACAGGAAGTTCAAAAGAAATAAAGCCCAAAAATGACAGCGTCTTCCTTGAACTACTGGAATCAGCATCATGAGGCAAGATGGCAGATGACTTCTCGTCTGGACTGAAGAACAACTGGATTTGGTTTATTTTAGGAGTGGAACCATGTAACCAGTGTTGGGGAAAGTTACTTTTAAAAGTAATGCATTACAATATTGCATTACTCCCTAAAAAAGTAACTAATTATGTTACTTAGTTACTTTTTATGGAAAGTAATGCGTTATATTACTTTTGCGTTACTTTTTAAATATGAGCAGGGCTTGATTGTTTTTAATATAAGAAGTTCTATTTATAGCAAATATAAAAGCCCTTTCACACCAAAAAGTGTAATGAATAAACCTCAGGCTGAAGTAAAAGTAAATTCACGTCTGTACAGTAGAACGCAGGAGAAGAAACACTCTTCAGCAATAAAAAAACAAAGCACAATTGTTAGTTTCTCTAAAGTCATTTTTGCTTATTAGTATGATTGAACTGGATCATCAAAGGTCAGCAGCAAAGATATTGGTTAATAAAATGGGATTAGATACATTTGTGTTATTTAACATATTTAATTATTGCAGGATTGCGTCATACTCTGAGTTTGCATTTCACTGTTTTAATTCATTTTGATGAATACTAAATCTGTTTTTTGTGAGTGGGATGAATTAATGCATATTCACATTTAGTCTAGAACTACAGTAACATCATGTTCACACAGCGCACACAACGCCTCTGTACTCCCGATTTCTCCCAATATGGGGACAGGAGAGCTGTCAGTCAATAAATGGAAAAACAAAGTAACTGGCATTACTTTTTTGAAAAAGTAACTCAGATATTTTCTTGTAAATTAAAAAAGTAATGCGTTACTTTACTAGTTACTTGAAAAAAGTAATCTGATTACGTAACTCGCATTACTTGTAATGAGTTACCCTCAACACTGCATGTAACAAAGTCACATGCTTACATGCAAGTTAACACAATGGAAGTAATAACATCCATTATTATTGTTACTGAATGGCACTAAATCCAGCCTGAATGTACATTCTTATGGTAGTTTGGATGTGAGGGGAACATACAGAGTTGTGAGAACATGGTCAGAATATCTGAGTGCTGGGTAATAATGTGGTCACAAAATAACATGCGATGACGACAGAACATCTATACTCTTTATATCAAAGGACTCGCGCTGGCTACCACATGAGCCCAATGTTTAAACACATCTATTTAGACTATTATTTTGACAAGAGGACTTCAAAACACCCATAATTGCCATTTCTTCATGTAATATCACCTCCTGCTATGAAGAAAAGAAACGAAAATAAACTTTGCTCCTAAATTTCTTCCTGTCGAAAGACAGATCTCTTCTGAATCAAGCTTGAAGCTAAAATAAAATAAAATAAAATGTGTTCCTTCCTACAATGTTATAGATCAAAATCATTTGGGTTTTCAAAATCAGTTTTAAATTTTGACTTTAAATTTATTTAATATACTGACATTGAGCAGAAACAGAGAGCCTGTTAGAAACAGTACAACATGGTCAGAGAACCAAATGATTATGTGTGGAAATGCATCAAGGTGAGGGATTTTTCCTTGAAGGAAAGAAAGAAATGAAGACACATCCAGGTTCTTCTCTGTCCTTCCTCAGAGAGGCCATATGGCAGGTCTAGCCCGTAAATGGGCGTTTGTACTAAATTCGGGCACTCTTGACTCATGATCTTTTTAATCTAAAACACTAATTTTTGTTTGGACGGTTTTTTATTTTTAGTAATTTTAGCTTTTTTAATCACAGTGAAACTGTAATTGACCATGGGTATATTGATCTAGAAGTAAGAAAGAAGTCATACCCAAATTAGGGGCACTAGCAGTCCTCTTCCCTCCCTTGATCTTGAAGAATCCCCGTCCAAAAGAAGATCTCATTTTCCTGGTGCCGAAGCTGTCATCCTCAGCAGTACGAGAAGAGCTTGGAGATCTGGGTGGTAGAGTTGTGATCTTGTTGAACTCATCAAATTCTTTGCTCTAAAAGTTCATGAAGAAAACATTTCAGAAATGTCAAATAACCATATGCATGTAATATAAAAAACATTCCAGTAATGTAATGTAAATTATAATATATATTTATAATTATAATAACTTCTAATTTAATACAACAACAGCAATTAATAATAATAATGTTAATAATAGTTATGATTTAAGAGAGTATTACTAACAAAAAAATAAGAATGACCTCAGCTGGCCTTTGATCTACTGTTAATGGCTTCTGGAATTAAAAATTGCACAACAGACAGTTTATTTAATCTCATTTTAAATCACTTTAAATATTCAATATACTGCCTAACCCTAATAAAAACCTTACAAATTGAGTTGAAATTCACCTTTTCACTGGCTCTTCCATCAAGGTTGCCCTGGTTCGCTGATTTTGTGACCTCTGAAGTTCTAAAACATGAAAAGACATTGTTACCATCACTCTTTCCAACATGCATATGTTCATAACCACTGTGTAGTATCAAACCACTTTGTTAAGGTGTCTGACTCACACTTTGAGTCAAAAGAGTGGCATTTCAGGTTACCAAAAAAACAAAACTGGCAAATCAAAATGTGCCATTTTTGTAACTGAACTCCACCTGACACACATACTCACTCGGGACTCTCATCTAATGGGGTCTCCAGTGATTGAGTTGGCTCCTGACACCCTTTCTCACTACAAAGGACAAACACACAAGCATTGGGATGCAGAGGTGGTGGCAAAGCATGATGGGTAAGCAGTGGGGTGTATAGACGGACATGCATTGATGTGTTAACGGTGAGAAAATGACACTTTAAACACCATAGAATGATAGGATAGTATGAATAGGGTGAGGTGGTCATGAACTCTGATATAGACAACAGGCATTTCAAAGACTAGAAAGGATGAAAAGAGGATACTAACATAAAGCACAAGAAAGGAAAAGCCTTTAGAGGTGCTACCGCTGAGGATGGGATGCTTGGATGCTGTAACATAGGTGGGATGCTTTGGGACATAAACCTACAGCCACAGATATGATTTAAAAGAATGTTTGCTTGTCCAGATTTTATCAGATGATGATCCTGCGTGAAAAAACAACTCAGCAGACAAAAAGGTGTGTTTTAATGTACTGAAGTGTACCTTGATGACTGCATGTGTTCCAGGCCTGAATGGTTGTCTGCTTTATCTGGGGATGTTATATGTACTGTGAGCGATGGCACTTGGAGGGTACTGACAAATGTAGTCGCCTACAGAAGAAGAGAACATGCAAAGGTAAATTCACACCAGTGTATTCTCTACACCAGTATTTTTCAAAATGCAGACCCCTGGAGGTCCACCTTTCCAGCATAAAAATATCATATTTAATATAATATAATACAATATATCCTTTTTATTAAGCCTTTTTATTAGGGATTTTTGTTTGTTTGTTTGTTGTATTTATAAAGCATATTTAAAAACAACCATGGGTTGACCAAAGTGCTGTATTGTACATACAATTACCAATAAGGGCATTAAAAAACAAGTACATTAATATAAAAAAAGAAACCGTTTTTAGTCATCACCACCTGTTCAGGTAACAATTTAGATCTGTAAGCATAGATTGAAATATAGAAAGAGAAGGTGTTGTTCAGATGGCTACATCGGTATGTACAACTTTCACAATACATAAATAATTTACAATTTAGAATGCAGATTTATTTTGTATTACAGGTATTGTTACTGTTCACAAACTATTAAAAAAAATTTTTGATCAGTGAAATAAATCTGAAATAAAACAGAATAAAATATAAATATTAAATAAAAAACTTCAACTTAAAAAAAAAGTAAATTAAAACTGTAGTTGTAGTACTAAAATCACTAAAATTGAAATAAATAAATAAAATGAAGCTAAAAAAGAATAAAATAAATCTAATAAAAATGACTGAAACACATGGAATAAAATAAAAATTCAATATTAAAACAATATAAAAATGCTATACTAGTAAATAAAAAAATAGAATAACCCTGATTACATAAATGGATTTTATTCACTCAGTTTTCAGAGTCCTTGGCTCAAAGCGTTCTACTGCATACATCATATTCCAAGGATCCATCACCTTACAGTAATACAGTAATCTGAAGACATTCAGTCACTCCCTGACAAGTGACTATCTGCGTCTTGAATCATCGGTGACAGTATGAGCCACAGGTTGACATGCTGTGTGTTCTGCAAGTGTTCAATTTAGCCTTTAGCTTGAAAAAACACCATCAACACAACTTTGCTGAACTGTGTTGCTCTAAATTAAGAATAATTCTAGGTTGCAGTGCAGTGATTTCAGATTATGCACGCCAAAACAAAATATAGTTTTTTTTAACAAGGATGCAAACTAACCACAAACGGTGAACTGTATAACCTTGAGGGAAATATTATATGAATTTTGTTGGTCTGAAAAGAAAATTGTACCTCATTTTGACCCCTCACAGCAACTTCCTCTGTGTAAGAGAGCAGAGACTTCTCCGTGTCCATGGAAACAGAGAGGGCGGTGGACATGGAGAGGGAGCTGTCGCTATTGCTCCCATCACTGTCTCCGTCTTTGAATTTATCTGATGAGAAAGACAGGAGAGGAGGGAGATTTGATCATAAGCTCGGAAAACAGCACACAACAAGTACAACCTGCCACTTAACAGCAACACACTATAGGATTCAAATAATTGTATAATATAACATAACATAACATAATATAATAAATAATATTTTTTATCATAAATAAGTATATTTTCCTACAGATTTTTTCCCCTGTAATTTATTGGAGTCTCCATTGTTTCTCATTATTGTATTACAGTAAAAATTACTGTAATTTTTTTTTACACATTTTTACATCACCATGTAGCCTTCCACAATATATAATTTACAATTTAAATAATGCATTTTTTGTATTAAAGGTAGTGCTGTTACTGCTCACAAATTATAAAAAAAAATAATTTTGATTAATTAACATAAAGATAAAATAAAATATAAATATTAGATGAAAACTTCAGCTTAAACAAAACTTACAAAGTTAAAGTTAGAAATGTTGCCTGACAACTAACTGAAATAAAATTAAGTACTAAAACTACTAAAACTGAAATAAAATAAAGCTAAATAAGATTTTGAAAACTAATAAAATGACAAAAGCACATAAAATTAATTAAACAAATTAAAATTACATTTAAAACAAAATAAAAGCTAGTTCAATAGTATATAAATAATACAACTAACACTAATTACAGGAATGACAAACACATTTCATTGACAACACTTTGGAATTTTTATTAAAAAGCAAAATAAATCACCTTTTCTCCCTTGTGCTGACATGACCATCTCTTGTACTTTCTTGTAACGCATGAGTGACTGTCGCAACTCTTCAATCTTGCAATCCTAAACAAAGCATCATTAACAGCATTAAATGCCAAGTTCCTTTATGATTTTCAAAAGCAATGGGAAAGGAAACTTATGACTTAAAACTACCTTCTCCTCATTCGCAGCCATCAAAGACTCCATTGCTTTCTTCATCTTCTGTACTTCCATATCTGCAAAGCACAGGCTTAGTAAACTAAAGACCATTTCATAAACACTAAAGGGCAAAGAAACATTAGGACTCAAGTCTGACATTTAGCATCACAAACTGTAGACAGACACATTGAACTGAAATACAACAGTGACCTTCTGTGACAAATGTGAGAAATGTACACAACGGAAGCGAGGAGGAGCTTGTTGGAATTAAACGTGAGTTTATGCAGCCACAGATAAGAGTGGATGTCCAGCCTGCAAGGTTATGAGGAATGTGAACATGGGTTAAGGGCAATGCACTATAATGGAGGGAAGAGGGGAAGTGAGGTGAAGAAACTAACTTTGGAGAACAGGAGGTATTACAGTACGAGGTGACAGGCAAAAAACAAACAAACAATAATGTAAATGTGACATGCCAGATAGCGACCACAATCTTTTGTCAGGGCTACAACATAAGAAAGGATTGTTATTCATTACTTCTTTCCCTTTCCTATAACTAATATCTTGTATTTTTAAACCCATTAACTTCCTGTATGACTGTAATTTGCACTGCTTCGTGTCGTAGAAAAGCAAGCTTCATGAGTACCATGCCCAAACATGCAGGCACAAGAAGCAGAGGACCAAGAGGACAAAAATAGTACAAAGATTAAAAAACTGAAAAAGGGATGTATGTGTAGAAGGTAGACATGAAGTCCCCTTACGTTTCTCTTTGAGCCTCTTTTTTAATGTTTCCTCAGTATGGAAAACTGTTTAAGACAGAGTAATAATATTAAACGTCTTCTGTTATTGAATGTGTTGGACCAATAAAGCGCTTTGAGTAAAAAGTTAGGGGAATAAACAAAACAAAATTAATTAATTTAAAAAAAGCATATATATATACAATAAATAAAATCAATAAAATAAAAAAAACTAACATAAATAAAAAGCAAAATCAAAATAAACAAAAACTAAATAATGAGAAAACAATAAAAAAAATCTAATCGAAACAAACAATAAAAAATGCAAAAACAAAAAAATTGACTAATTAAAAAAAAAAAAAATAATAAAATAAACAAGCAAAAAACAGCAAAAAACAAACAAAAACAAAGCTTAAATATATCAAACAAAGCAAAGACCAAAAAACAAGCTAAAAACAAAGAGAATCAAAACAAACATCAAAAGCAAATCAAAGCAAATAACAAAAATAAACAAAAGCAATATAAAAAATAGCAAAAATTAATTCATACAATAACAACTGATTGAGCTTGATCTACTCCAGATTTTATTTTAAATTAGTCAGTACAGCATCACAGATACAGCAAAATGACAAGACAAAACTAGACCCCTGTAGGGCACGCTGGGACAGGCAATACTGTGAATAACAGCAACTATGCGTGACCCACCTCTCTCTGTGCTGTCTAGGCCTGCAGGTGTTGGGGATCTGGACCCCGTCTCATCCTGCAGCCTCCTCAGATCACCATCTCTGCCATCCAGCTGCCTTCTCAACGTAACCAGCTCCTCCTGAACATTAAACACACACATCTCACAACTCTGATCCAAAGTCTGGACAACCACTGAAGTTAACAGGTTAAACACCCAGTAATACCAAACCATGCAATTACTAATTACTATCAGAGAGTTCAGTACATGGCACTTGCAAAATGAAAGTTTGTCATGATGTTGTAGATACTGTATCTGACACTTATGTTTTTGTTAAATTGTCCAAGCATGCAAATTTATTGGATTATCTCACACATAGCCAAATATTCAATTAATCAATTATATTAGTGTCTACCACTAATCAAGATCACATTCAAGAACTTCATTCAAGAGTTCAATGCATTGCCAGGGTGGTAGAAAAGTTTAACACACCCAAAAAATAAAAATAAACTACAGTAACACAATCATGCAAACCTCACACTGAGCTTTTCAAAGCTTGTGGCTTAACAGTATGCTACAGTAAGAAGCAGTAACAGAAATAGCTTCTCCTGCATTATAAAGCAGTCTGAAATTTAGCACACTCAGCTTAAACATCTCGTAGAGCCTCACACTGAAGCATACTTGTGGTTAATTAAACATTCTGAGATCTTATACTGGTGCCACTGCTTAGAGGGGAGGGCAGATTTAATGAGCAGCTTTCAAATCATGATGAGAACTTTGTCTGTACAACATTGTGCAAAATGGAGGGTTATAGAGCTCTCAGTCAAGCTGAGACTGTTAAAAGTTTGATACTGTAGTGAGTGACATGAGATAATAGGCTCATTAACAGTGGCCTCAGAATGTATTTGGACTCTAAATCAACACTGAATGTCACTGCATTGTTAATGAAATATTAAATGTGACCCTAGACCACAAAACCAGTCATAAGGGTCAATTTTTCTAAATTGAGATTTATACATCTTATGAAAGCTGAATAAACAAGCTTTCCATTGATGTATGGTTTATTAGGATAGGACAATATTTGGCCGAGATACAACTATTTGAAAATCTGGAATCTGAGGGTGCAAAAAAATCTAAATACTGAGAAAATCGCCTTTAAAGTTGTCCAAATGATGTTCTTAGTAATATATACCCAAGCGACTTAAGACTGGTTTTGTGGTCCAGGGTCACAAATGTGACCACTGTATATGTGAAATGTTTAAACTTTAAACTAAAGTCTTCATTAAAAGTGCCAAAAAGCAAAGTTAGAGTGCAAAAATAACTAAATGAAAAAATCTCTGGATCACAACCAGAAGCAGTAACCACCCTGAGGTATGCCGACCTTGAGCGCCTGGATTTTTTGTTCCTTCCTCTGTTTCTCATACTGCATCTGGCCCAGTTTGAGTTTCAGGCTAGAGAGTTTGGCCATAAGCGACTAGCAGCAGAGAGGTTAGCCAAAGAGGAAAAGGAAAATAAACACTTAAAGATAACAAGAAAGATGACAGGTTATGCAAGAGAGACAAAAGAAGAAGAGAACCCCTATGCAAGCTTAAAGATAGTAACCTCAATTGTCGTTTTCACTAGTAAGAAACTAGCGCTGAAACTCACCTTAGTGGATTTCAATTTCTTTTCATACTGTAACCGTTCATTCTCCAGCTCAGAAATGCGATATCTCAGTTCATCAATCTCCAAAATCAAACCCTAAAAAGGAAAAATGTCTTTAAAAGGCAAAAAAATCTCCATAGAATTTCACAAAGTGTCTCAAGCATTTTAGCAAAAACTTGTTTTTCTAAACATTATTTTATTATTAATATTTATTTAATAATGTGAAATTTACTGTTAAATGGGTTAAAGTTAAACTGGCAGCTGCATATGTATGCTGTCGATTACCACAAAAAAAAAGTTACAATAAAAATAAAACAATTTTAAAAACTTAGGGTCATTAATGCACGGAATCTAATAATATTAATAACTCGTTTCTAAACACTCACAGATTATCATGGCCATATTCCTAAACTATTTTGCTTCAAAGGGCTTCAAAGAGAAGCCTACTCTCAAGTTTGAAATGGTTTGTTTAACAAACAGACTAAGTATTCAATCTTAATGAGCAAAAAAAAAAAAAAAATAAAAAAAGAATCTAGTGACAAGCATCCATTCAGCACTCAGGCCTTTTAGGGCCAAGCTCTTTGTCAGGATGTCTAGCATTCAGCCGTGGATTTATGATTCAATAAACAACAGAGCAGCCTCTAGTTGTAAACACTCTGAAATACAGATGCATCCACTTGGAGCAGTGATCCGGAAAACTCAAAGGACAAATCAGAATACACTACAGTTAAAATGTTTTGGGTCAGTACAACTGTATAGCGGTTTTCAACTGTGATGATAAGAAATGTTACAATAACAATAATAAGAAATATTTATTGAGTACCAAATTAACATATTATAATGATTTCTGAAGGATCACGTGACACTGAAGACTGGAGTAATGACTGCTGAAAATTCAGCTTTGCATTGAAGGCTCATATGACACTGAAGACTGCAGTAATTAATTAATAATTTGTATTTAAAAATAAATACAAATAGAAAACATTTTAAATTGCAATAATATTTAACAAAAATACTGTTTTATCTTATTTTTGATAAATTAAACGCAGGCTTGGTGAACAAAAGATTTCAAATCTTACCAGCCACAAACTTTTGAACAGTAGTGTACATTAAGTATTTCAGGCTACAGTAGTTCTGATAGTTCAAAATCTAAAATGACATATTATAGTCTTAGTCTTAACAGGATAAAAAGACGACATTTTGGGAAACAAACTGGAGTCTTGCTGAGACAGTAAATTATGTGGCAGCAAAATAACAGGAAACAGCAGAAATAATTTTTATCTTTGAAGAATGTGTTGACCAACCTAGACCAAACACACTTGCCAGTGCAGTTTAAACAATAAATAGTTTGTATATATGTTCTATAATACTCTAAGAAGAATGAAAAACACAATCACAAAGAAAGGCCTGAAATGGAACGTTTGTCATCAACAAGGAGACAAAACCTGTTTTCTGTGGCCGACTGCGAACACATAGGTGCAGAGACTGGTTCATCTCCATGACCCTAATCTGAAATCATCCTCTTGCTTTTCTCCATTTTTGGATGTTGTCTGACTCAAAAATACCTGCTAAAGTGATAACAGCATTTACCAAGCCTAAATAAAACACGTTATGGACAAGGACCGAGACAAGCTTGTCTGGAGTTCATAAGATAATAGTCTGCTTAACATCTAGTCTCAAGTTGCTAGACTTTAACAAACAACATAAAAAAACGTTCCAGTTTGCAGTTCATTTGGGCCAAGAAACGCCCACTTTGACAGGAAGTGTATTTGTAAACTATATGTTAGTGGCCAAACATGGTTTAGGGCTAGTTTATCTGAAATAGTTGAAACCATCGATGTGGAAAACCATTCCAATGGATCCCAACACCCTCTCGCTGTGGACCCTTCCTACTCCCATTCATCCACAGTAGGGCATAGTCCTTAGTGGTAATGACTACTTTCTAGAGAGAAAAGAGGCCACCTAAACCAATTTTTGGAGAGGAAATGGTATCTGGTAAAGGCTGTTTTTTCATTTACCATTTTGCCCAGACAGTAAACAAAGCAGAGAATAGCTAAAAGCCCAACATTCCAGTGCACTGGAACAGACCTCTGTACCACAACAAGACCACAACAGATCGCATTGTTGAATGCAAGTCTTTCTACTTCAGGCTTGTACAGAAACAAAAGGTTGGCTATACTGCAGAATCACGATTCTAAACAAACATTCAAGTAATTTTCCAGCAAACTGCAATATGTTAAAGCGGTCAAAACAAAAGAGCTCTGTGCACCAATGGCAGAATCACAAATTAACCATTGACTAGCATTACAATTAAAGCACAGCCACTGACATTTTCAAATAAAGACATCATTACACAATTATTTCCCTCATGCATGTGTGCATGTTTCTTACCTCACTATCTCCAAATCTGTCGTCAAAATCGAGTCTCTCTTTCTCCATGGCTGTTAACTTCAGCTTCGAGTTGGAAACCTCTGCCATAAGCTCCAGCTTCTGAGTCTCAAGGGCTGATCTGCACAAGAGTTCCTAGGAAGAAGAGTTCACAAATGGAGCATGAACAAAAAAATCCATCTTATGAATAAATTTTATGGGCTTTTAGTGAAGACGTGATAAGAAACTATGGGCTTAAAATAAGCTCTACTGTGCAGAATGCACTTGACCCAACTGCCAGACCATGTCTCCAATATACAAGAAATATCTTTAAACCCACCTGCTGCAACATTTCTTCAGTTGCATTTAGTTTCTCATGGTGTTCATCAAGGCACAGGTCTAGGTCCCTTATCTTTTCACCCTGTGCCTCCACTTGATCCGTCAAAACACTCACCTGCAAAGAATGATGATTTTATTTTATTAAAAAATGTATTATTTTATTCAGCAAGGATGCATTAAATTGATCGAATGTGACGGCAAACACATTTATAATGTTTTTAAAATAAATTATATTAAAAATAAATGCTGTTCTTTTTAACTTTCTATTTACCAAAGAATCCTGAAAAAAATTTATCAGGGTTTCTACAAAAATATTAAGAAGTTTTAAACATTGATAATAATAAGAAATGTTTCTAGAGCAGCAAATCAGTATATTAGAATGATTTCTAAAGGATCATGAGACACTGAAGACAAGTGCTTCAAAAAAAGAAGTGTTTTAAAAAGAAGACAGTTATTTTAAATTGTAATAATATTTTACAATATTACTGTATTTATGACCGAATAAATGCAGCCTTGGTGAGCACAAGCTCACCTCAAAAATATAAAAAAATCTTGCCGACCTTGTATGTGCATGTACAGTATATACAAAGTTACCTGAAGCACAAGGGACTCTTTATCACTTTCAAGACGATTAAGTCTATCCTGGTAAACATCACCGGTGATTGAAATGTGTCCATTTGACTGTCCGAAAAAGATATAGAAAAATAGTTTATTATAAAAGACTTCTGGAATCCACCACGACTAGTGCTGGGCGGTATACCGGTTCATACCGAATACCGGTGTTTATTTTTGTTATGATATGAATTTTTAAAATACCGCAATACCGGTGTATGTCGCTTAAACAACGTTCGGAACGCGACACTGTTTGAAAGGGGTCCCTTTTTAATGTTGCACTGTAGTGAAGGAACAGCTTTGTTACTAAGCGTGAAAGTTCCGAAACTGAAGCTGTAGAACTAATAGAACGTGATGACAGAAGAACTCATTCACAATATCCACAATGACCCCCACAAATATCCACCGCCCCTGCCATCAGCTCCCGCATCTCACACACACGAGCGCGACTTTTGCACTAGATTTAGCAACTTTCAC